CCCTGACCCCTAAACCCCGCCCAGGTCTGGGGTCCCGGCTGCCGGCCCCTTGCCAGCCGGCGTCCCGGCCACAGGCCCCGCTCAGCCCGCTGCAGGCCTAGGTGAACAAAACCCCAGGCTGAAAGCGGGCTGAGCAGACTGGCGACGTAAGATCAGCATTTTAATTTAATTTTAAATGAAGCTTCTTAACCATTTTGAAAACCTTGTTTACTTTACATACAACAATAGTTTAGTTATATAATATAGACTTAGAGAGAGACACCTTCTAAAAAACGTTAACATGTATTACCGGCACGCGAAACCTTAAATTAAAATGAATAAATGAAGACTCGGCACACCACTTCTGAAAGGTTGCCTACCCCTGTGCTAGAGAGATGCTGTTAGCTATCTCTGCAGCTTGGAGGAGCAGTGAGCAAATGGGCACATCCCTCTTTGCTCTGCTGCCTTCTCTAGAACTATAAGGGGAGCAGGAAAGCTTGGGAAGGGGTGGGGGGGGGGCATAGGGAGGGAGCAGTGTTTGGAAGAAGCACTTCCTTCAGCTAAAAACTGATTTAGAAGGAAAATGAGATGTTCCAGAGAGTAGAGATGGCATTTTTAGGTTCTCCTGGAGGGTGTAGCTTAGTGGTCTCCTGAACACAGGATTTGAAATATTCCCCTTCCACTTCTTTGGAGCCATAGGGTCAAATCTAGCCAGTTTGGCTCAACCCTTTGTTCTCCTCCAGATAATCTGTTTTGCATATAAACAATGAGGAGTCCGGTGGCACCTTAAAGACTAACAATTTTCAGACATGATATTTTAAATGGATGCCCCTCTTTGTGGATATTGGAGGTTATGATGCTTTTATTAAGAGCAGATGTTTGCCCCAGTGGTGGTGTTCTTTATACTGTTTGGCTGTCATTCTCCACCCCATAGGCTACTGAGGTGGTGTTGTATAGATATAAAGTATATAATATATAATTAATACAATATTTGATGCCTGCTTAATTGGAACATCTGCCGTAAAATTGATTAAATCTAAATATCATGTATGAGGATGATTCTTGCTCAGTTGTGTCAATATTAGCATAAATTCTGCTGGAGAATGAATTTAGTTAGTGACAAGTAATTAAAAAAAGTTTAGCTAGGTGTTAAATACATGTGAGATGCAAAACTCTGGTCTTCTGCCACACAGATTGCCAGATAAGGCTTAAGAGGTATATTTTGTTCTGTACACAGTAGGCTTTGGTCAAAAATTCCAGGGCTTAGGTGAAATCAAAGCCAAATAATTGCAAATCTAAAGAGCTATAAATCCCAGGAGCAACTTTTTTTTTTTTTAAAGGAAATTCTGTGCCATGAACTCAGGTTAAAGGCAACATTGAGTGACTTGCTGACGGTTAAAAGAAAAGTTTGTTTGTGCCAGTTTTTGCTACTTCATAATATATAAAGAAGGCCTGAAGGGGTAGGGTATATGTTTTTATGGTCAGGCTTGACAAAGCCCTGGCTGTGATGATTTAGTTGGGAATTGGTCCCGCTTTGAGCAGGGGGTTGGACTAGATGACCTCCTGAGGTCCCTTCCAACCCTGATATTCTGTGATTCTATGTATGGGTTTTTAACTCCAGCTTTAGTTCTTACCTCAGAAATATCAGCAATGTCAAGACTGGTCTTCCTTGGTTTTGTTGGAGGATTTCTTGGGGGTTATGTATTGGGAGTTCTTGGACCTCAACTGAAGGGATGAGGGGGGTGGGGTTGTGTGTTGCAATCTTTAAGCAAGAGAGTCTGCCTACTGTATTTTTCCACTCTATGCATCTGATGAAGTGGGTTATAGCCCACAAAAGCTTATGCCCAAATAAATTTGTTAGTCTCTAAGGTGCCACAAGGACTCCTCGTTGTTTTTTCTCTCCCCAATGTCTATTTGACATTGGAGTTAAATAAACTAATAAAAACAAGCTTAGAATTTTTAAATAATCTGACTAAGTTTTTTCTGAAGCTTAGACCAGACTGGTTCTGAAATGACTGTATGTTACTGGATTTGGTGTTTAATAGGAAATTCCTCTTTGTATGGATGTAATTGAATGTGGCTGTCAGGAATGGCCATATTTGAAAGTTATAAGCCTGGGAGGCAGACTCAAGGTTAAGTTTTTAACCTTAACTCTGCATTTTCTGACTTGATGCTGAATTTCTCAGCTGAAAGTTGCATTAATTTTTTGTGTGTAAAACACTAGTTGATGTTCAGGGGAGCTGTAAGTTAAAACTTCCAGCTGACATCAGTGTGGACTTGGCTGTGGTTTCCTCCCAAAGCAGCCTAGTGATCCATATGCAGACAAGGTCTTCTCAGAATGACTGTGCTGGTCTTTATCTCCCCCGACACCTCCAATTGCTTCCAGTTATCTGCTGCTCCTTGTCAAAGGGGTGATTATAACCAGAGGTGGAGGGAGACAGTAATGCCATATTCTGCACTTCTATAGCGCCTTTCATTCCAGGATCTCCGTGTGTTACAAATCAGACCCAAGAATGGCTTATGATCCAAATGCCATCCAAGGTCAGATTCCACTTCTAATATAAAGGTGCAGCCAAAGGAAACGATAGGTTCTAGCATGCATTGTTTTACTTCCAGCCAAAGGATCCGGCTGCATTGCATGCTGGGAGCTGTAGTTTTCATGGAAGTGCACCTCCATATTAAAAGAGGAGGGTGGCTCCATTTTATTCAAAGTGGGTTCAGCCTTCTTGCTCCTGGCAGGTTGCCAGCATGGCCCTTGCTTGGGCAAACTTTGGTGGCCCCTGGTCGTTTGAGAAAAAGCAAGTGACATGTTAGCTTCCACTTCAAACCGAGCTTAATTCCAGAGATAACAGCGTGTTTTGAAACCTGGACTTCAGTGTGTTTTGGAACATCTTGGACACCCACTGTGTGAATGCGACACAGGAAACTTGCCCCAGTTGGGTGGCAACTCGCAGGGGTGTCATAGTAAATCTCCTTTGTCTGCTCCAGCTGGACTGATGTGTGGGGGAGAGCAGAACTCCCTCCCCTGCACTGTTCTTGATCTGAAAGCAGCAAGTGAGTGAGGAAGCTCCTTTGTGCAGATTTCTCAGTCTCCTCTTGTGCGTGCCAGCTGGCTCTTGTTCAACATTTTTTTCATCGCTAGAGAGAGGGGGCGGGGAGAAAGAAATATCTTAAAAAGAAATCTACAAAAACGACATGGGAGTTACTTAAAAAAAAAAATCCAACCCAAACAAGCCAGGCTGGGGGATTACAGAGGTAGCATTAGGAGTCGAGAGCAGAGAGCTGGCACTGCAGCTCTGGAAAGGAAGGCGAGTCCCCTCTTGAGTTTCTTTAGTCGTAAAAGGAAACAAAAAAGGATCTTGTGTGGAGGCAACATATGGGGAAAGCTGTAGGCTGGCTGCCAAAACTAGATGGCGGGAGAAAGGGCCTGCAGTACAGCATCCTCTCGCATTTCTGCATTGTCCCACTTGGAAAATTGGGCACCTGTGGGGCTGGATGGGGTGGGTAGTTGTTCCGTGCAGCGAGCAGCAGTTCCTACTTTGTTCTGACTGAGATTTTGCTCTTCTGATTCTACTCCTCCCTCCAACCGGTGCTGGGATTGCCTCCCACTCCTATCGTTGGGGCTGCTCTTGGACAGATGGGTGCGTTTGCTGGCTTGGACTGGGTCCAGTGAGGGCGAGCAGTTATTTGAAACCCTCCTCTGCTTTGGTCTGCTGTAGAGTGGCAGCCGTCTGGCCAGAGGAAACACCTCGCACAGGAGATTTCCCGTCGTCTTTGCTGTTCCTTGTTGCGGGCATTCCTGAAAGTTAATCAGGGTGAAAATTGCAGTCAGTCATGTCTGGAAGCCACCAGAGGCTAATCCCGGAGTGCTGCAGATTCGAGCACATGGGTAGGAGACAGTCTCTTTATGTGTGGGCTGGCTGACTTTCTGCCAGCGGAATAGCTTGCTTCTGGTTTTTGTCACCCTTGGGCGTTAAATCATTCCCTGTTTAGGTTTTTCTGCCTCTTGCTCCACTACAACAGCTCAGAAGGAATGCAGGCTCCTTGGGTTTACAGAAGATCCGCTGGGGTGTGTTCCAGCACAAAGAGCCCTGGCTAATGTGGTTTCCCAGGTCTCCGGCTGGTGCTGGTGTGTTTGAAATGCTCTCTGTCTGTTTGAATAGCTTTCTCTGGGTGTGTTTGCCAGTGGCTGTTAGCTCAGAAAGTGAACTTTCCGGTTTGTCTCTAATGCGTTGGCTTCTTCCCAGTGCATAGATGTGGATTGTGGAGGTTCCAGCACCAAATGGAGCTGAATTATTCATGTCTATGTGTGTGCAGCATTCCCCAGTGGATAACTGTCTCCCTGAAGAACCTCTGCTCCAGGCCCTCTCAAAATGCCTTGTTGGCAGGTTTCCAGCCTCACAGGTGACCGCATGCCTTTTCTGTTGTGTAGGGATCAAGCCTGCAATGGGAGGAGGTGAGGGGAAGACTAGCTGTGGCTGCATAAGCCTCTTCACTGTTTTCTGTGGTTCTGTGATTTCTTTGTCTCTTATCCTTCTCCCAGAGGAGGCAGAGTTTCTGATGGGCACCTAATGGGGGCAACTTGCCAGGAACCAGAGGGCTGTGCATAATGGGCATCAGTAATCAAGTTGTAATGAGTCTTCCTGAGTATGGAGGTGCAGCCTGTGATGAGTACAGGTCCCGGCATGCACCGCTTGCTCTGCCTCAGAGCGTGTGTTGCAGCCTGGACCTGTAGTCTGCACAGGCTGCATTCTCTGTGTCGGTAAAGGTGTCCACAGAGCCAGGCTGTGTTAGTGTCTCCAGATGTGTGTACTGGAGTTAAGTTGTCAGCCAGCACTGTGTGAGGGGTGGACATGATCAGCGCCCCCTGAAGTTCTCTGCTTTGTCTTGTTTACAGGGGTTTTCTCTTCTTTCTCCGTGCTGGGGGACAAGTCGTGCCTTCAATTACACTAGTATAATCTCATGGGCGTCCCTTGGGTTGCATGGGTGAGGCAGAGGGCACGGTGTGCATTGGGTAGTGTAGCTTGAAAAGGAGCATTTTCATGTGGGCAGACCTGTCCCTGCTGGGCACCAGCTCATCAGCTTTTGCAGGCTGCCATAGATAAATTGCTAGTGGCTCCTAGTTGCTTGGCTGCTGTGAGTCTCACTGAGCGACTGACCCTCTGAGGGCTATGTGTGCGTTCATTCCAGCTCTGCCCTGAATCTGTGATACTCTTCTTAGGCTGAGAAGCCACATCAGTGAGCTGGCAGCTCTTCATCGATGGATTGCTCTGTTGGAGTGGGACCAAATCACTTACCATCTGATGGCTAAGGTTGAGTTGGAACCTGGAGGGTAGAAATTGGGGGGTGATTGGGACTGAATGATCGTGCTGAGATGAAGAGGGCTGCTTTAGTTTAGCTGTCAAGTCATTCTGTGTACATAAGAGATAGTGGTGCAGGATAGCATAAAGGGATCTCAGGCCGTGTGAATTGCTCCCCTGGGGTGGCTCTAAAACATCCCTGCTGTTGGATGCCGGGGGAGAGTTTCTCTAGTGAGTGAGGTGTCTCCATCTCCCTTTCAGCTGGGTTCTTGCCTGAATAGCACTTGGAGTTACTTTGCTTTTCCTACCTTTTAAAAATACAGTTGAGAGGGCATAGAAATGAATCAAGCAGGAAGCTTTCTGATCCCATCATAGTCGCCAAGAGCAAAGCACAGGCTATGGAGCTGTACATGCGCTGTCCTTATTGTAACATGGCCATGTGAACTACAGGTCCCAGCATGCAATGCTCACTCTTGGTTACATGGCCTTACCCTCGCATCAACATGGAGTGTTGCATGCTGGGACTAGTAGTTTTTACAGGCTGCACCTCAGTATCAAAAGGAGGGGGGACAGCTACTATGTAGTCTGTTAGACATGAATCAGGTGCAGTCCCTTGGAGTCCAGACAAACTGTTTAAGAGGCCGTTGGTGTAGGGTAACTATTGGGCTCCCCGATTGGGAGGCTGGTCTGTATTTCACCAATAGTGCCCCATAGCCGTCATCACCCAGCAAAACCTTGGTCTGCATGTGCCGATAGTGCCCCATAGCCGTCATCACCCAGCAAAACCTTGGTCTGCATGTGCCGTTCTGCACGTGGGAGGAACAGAGGCTTTTGGGCAAAGGTCTGTTACTATATTTGTTATCTCTGAAGTGACCTGGTGGGATATCGTGCCCCCGGTCCTTGGGCTGATCCCATCCCCAAGAGGATTCTTTGTGGTCTAACAGCTTGGGCAGTCAAACTCATTATTGGCCTTGTGCATCTGGACAAAGAAATTGCTGAGGGCTGGCAGTACAAAGGCGATTCTCTGCACGTGGCGCCTGTGGTGGCCAGGAGCTGGGGGCTGGCAGGGAGGTTTTGTGCCGCTTTGGATGTGAAGAGCTTCTCCTTGTTTTGGAGGGAGGCTGGGGGGAGTGAGGTGAATTGATCATTGCACATCTCCGTCCCTCCCCCCAAGCTGATCCCTGCAGGGAGCAGCCTGTTTGTGATCTCAGCTGGAGGAACAAAGCACAAATGGCACTATCTGGCAGGGATGGATCGGGAAAGTGGCTCTAGAGAGGCAGGTAGATCTGAGCAGCTGGTGGGTTAGAGCTGAGGATGCTGACTGTTGTGCATGCTCCAAGCTGGGAAGTGGATTACCCGGGGGTGGGGGGGTTGGGAGGGCTGGGGCAAGGGAAGAGGGAGGGAAGAACACACATGGCGGCTTTTGAAAGCTGTTAGTGACTCCAATGCTGCATGCAGCGTTCTCCTGATTCTGCACTTTCTCTTCCATTGAAACAAGAGGTCAGTGCTTTTCATTTCCAGCTCGCGTGTTAGCCCCTGGCTCCTGGGGTTAAAAATCTCTGTAATGACCTGTCAGAGAGTGGATTATTAGGTGTACAGAGCCAGGGATGCTGTGGGGAGCAGATGGAAAATGGTCTGGCTGCTGCAGCCCGTCTGATGAAAGACTCCTTGGCATTTTTACAGTGTTTGTGTCTCTGAAAATGCACCACGAAGCTGCTTTCCAGGCTCCTGCCTGCTGGGGTTTAAAAGAGAATGTATTTTTTTAAGTCACCTGCTTTTGGAGTGTTGCTCAGAAATAATACAGTGGATCTGTGGGCCGTGTGCTCAGCAGGAGGAGGAGGAGGAGGACAATGGCACTCGAGAGGAGCCGCATTGAGAGGGGCGGCCAAGGGTTTCTCAGGAGAGCCTGGAGAGGGGTTTGCTGGGGCTGAGAGCCTGGCTCCTGGGAAGAACACTGTTTCATGTGTTAATTATGTCTGGTAATGCAATTGCCACTAGCTACTTTCCATGAGTGACTCGGGGGCTTTTTCTCCCCTTGCTACACAATTGCTTCCAGGGAAATGTGCAGTGCAGAGGTCTGAGTGTCTGCCCTGGCTTTAGGGCGTTCTAGGGATGAGGGAGAGAATGTTAGGTCTGAGGGGGGGAGGGAGGGGGGCAGCAGTGTGTGGGCAGCAGAGTGTGGGCATGTGCAGTGACAGCTTCCTGCATGCAGTGCTGCTAGTGCCCCTCAGACCTGATTTCAGCCCTGGCTCCTACACAACACTGCCCATGCCCCTTAATCCTGACCTGCAATCCCCCTGCTATTCCAGCCCTGAGCTCCCCCTACCTCTGCTGCAGTTCTGCCAATATCCTTCAGTCCTCACCTGGAAGCCCCCACTCCTCTTCTGGCCTTGGGCCTCTCCTGATCAGTAAGTTTTGCTGGGTATTGTGTGGTGGCTTTTGAGTGTGGGAGCTCTAAAGTGAGCTGACATGTTGTGGTCTGTCACTGGAGATCGGAGGTGAGCTCTGGGGACAGAAATCTAGTCCCTGCCATTTGGCCCCGGTTGATCCCGATGGCTCTCACCTGGCTTTAACACTGTGCTCATTCTGAGGCTAGATGTCGGATTCCCACCAGGGCACTAAACTTCCCTGGTAGGTGACTCTGGTCTCATGCTGCACAGTGTGTGTGGGGCACACTGCTCTGATCAAGGTCCCCAAACCCCACCGCTGGCCCTGGGGGGGGGGGCACAGAGGGGAGGGGTCTGCCTCCATCCTGGGGCTGCGTGCAGGGAGTGCTCAGTAATTCAGAGGGAAGTGGCAAGCAGGGAGCGAGTGAGTAATGTCTTGTTGATGCTGAGAGCTGTGACCTGCCGGGGCCTGTATCAATTGAGGGAGCAGTGCCAGATGGTGGCTTCCACAGGGACAGCCAGGGTGCTAGGGCCTCTTCCGAGGAGCCCCGCTTTGGGACCCTGTGAGGGGCCAGCAGGATGGCGTGATGGGGCTGTGGCAGCCAGAGGGCAGGCTGGTGAGTTTCATGTAGCAGATCACTTTTCCAGGGCAGTGTCTGTGGTGGGGGCTGGAGGGAATGGGGTGTTGCGGATTGTTCCCTGCACAGGCAGTGGGCTCTGGTCAGCTTCAGTGTCTGAAATTGTGTACGTTCATGTGAGTGTTTCTTTGGGGTGAAACAAGGTAGGTGTGGGCAGCTGTGCCCATGGGCTCGCGTGGGCTGGTAATAGAGCACAGGCCCCTGCATCTGTCATGGGGTGTGTTTATGTGTGAGAGAGAGAGAGAGTGTGTGTGTGTGTGTGTGTGTGTGACAGCGTGTGAGGGCGAGTTCCGCTCCCTGTGTCTGTGGTGGTGAGTGTGAGTGACCGTGTGTGTGTGTGTGTCTCGAATTCAGGCTTCCTGTGTCTGTGGTGGGGTGTGTGTGTGTGTGAGAGAGAGAGAGAGAGATGGGAGACAGGTGAGATCAGGCCCCATGTATCTGTGGTGGGGTGTGTGTGTATGTATGTAAGAGAGGGGGTGAGTTCAGGCTCCGTGTCTGAGGTGTGCATGTGACTGTGTGTGTGTGTGAGAGTGGGTTCAGACTCTGTGTCTGGTGGTGGTGTGTGTGAGTGAGAGACAGCGTGTGTGAGAGTTCAGGCTCCGTGTGTCTGTAGTGGGGTGTATGTGTGTGGCAGTGTGTGTGTGTGTGGGGAGTTCAGGCTCCATGTGTCTGTGGTTGTATGTGAGAGAGAGAGAAAGAGGTGGGGGGAGTTCAGGGTCCATGTCTCTGTGGTGGTGCACAGGTACCTGTTGAGCCCCTGTAGTGGTGAAGGTGTGTGTGCCTGTTCCAGGAAGATCACTCAAACAGGCTTCCCCGTGCTGCTCCGTGTAACACCTGTTCTTGCTCTCCCTTTCAGCGATGATGCCCTCACCTGGGCAGACCCTGACCACTGGAGGCCTGAGGACATAGCTGCAGCTGCTGCCTGGGATCCAGAGGTGTGGAGGCGGGGAAGAGCCTGGAACTCTGAGGTGGGCTGTGAACTCTAAGATGTCCTTGAGCAGTGGAGTTTCCGGAGGGAAAGGAGTGGATGCAAACCCTGTTGAGACGTACGACAGTGGGGATGAGTGGGACATTGGAGTAGGGAACCTCATCATTGACCTGGACGCTGACTTGGAGAAGGACCAGCAGAAATTGGAAATGTCGGGCTCCAAAGAGGTGGGGTTGCCGGCGCCCAACGCTGTGGCCACGCTGCCTGATAACATCAAGTTTGTGACTCCGGTGCCGGGCCCTCAGGGCAAGGAGGGCAAGTCCAAATCCAAGAGGAGCAAAAGTGGCAAGGACAGTGGCAAGCCGGCCCCAGGAACCTCTCTGTTCACTCCAGGCGAGGGGGCCAGTGGCAAGAAGGAGGTTCAGGGACGCTCTGGGGATGGCGCCAGTTCGGGCGGCCTGGTGGCTGCTGTCATCCCGAAGAGCACTGAGAAGTCGGCCAAAGCATCTCGCAGCGTGGCCAGCTCCAAAAAGGAGAAGGAGGGCAGCTCATCCAAGAGCAAGAAGGAAAGGAGTGAGGGTGTGGGGGCTCCATCAGAGAAGGAGCCCAGCGTGCTCCAGCCTCTTGCCCTGGCTGTGAGGGTGGGACAGTATGATGCGGGCCAAGGGCCAGAACCTGCTGCAGCTGAGCAGCTCGGGAATATAGCTATTGACACGGGAGCTGCGCTCAATCCTTTGGGAGTTAAATCGGAGATGGAGGATGGGGAAAGTGAGTGCCGGCAGCCGAAAAAGGTCAAAGCAGAGAAGGTAAGAGGCAGGCGAGTTGCCACCCTGCTGGGGTGGGGTGGAGGGACATTGCTGTGGAGAACAGGCAGCCTACGCAGCCCCATGTCTGCTCCCCATTCGAGTGGAGCGGTGCTCTGTACATGTTCTTCCCCTAATGCTTTGCCAAGAGCAGTGGGACTGCTCCCCTTCAGCAGCAGGAGATGGAGGCAGTTGCTTCCAGTGTCCTCTAGAATGCACAGGACTTGCTGCGTGTGCTACACTAGGTTCTGGTGAGCTGTAACGGGAGGAACTGGGAACAGCAAAACATAGGCTGTATTTTGGGCAAGTTGCTTGCCAGCAAGATGCGTTGGGCCATGAAATGGCTCCCTGGGCGAGGGGTGGAAGCTGGTTCTGGCCTCTTTAAAATGGACTGTACAGTGAAGAACTGTCCTTAGCCTCTGGGAAATGGGACTCTCCAGTTCCCCAGTCCACAGCTTTGAGTCACAAGTGTTTGAGATGAGGGAAGAGCATCTTACCATCCACTGGTCCTGTGTAGGATTGTTACTGACAGTCAAGGTCTGGTGTACTTTGCGGCAAGCGGGGAAGCCAGGGTACGTAGTTTGTGTTTTGTCAATGAGAAGAGGATGCAACTCTTTGCTTCCCCCTTTGTGGGAGGGCTGAAGGTGGCTTGAGCTCCTAGCTCCCCAGGAATCCTCAACAGCCATGAACTGCATGCCTGAATGCACCAGAACCTGTGATACTGGAGAGCTGTTCTGGGCAAATGGCTGCAGTTGAGGTCTGGAGCTAAGCAGGCTCTGCTGCTGATGGTACCACATGGGTGCTGTGTTGCCCTGGTCTCTGCTCCTCCCACAGATGAGCTTGGTTAATTGGTAATAAGGTATGCCAGCTTGTGGTGGCTTTGGCTTGGGGTGTTTGGGTGCAGGGCCCTGCGCACTCCATTCCTCCTGCAGCCAAGCGGGGCAGACGGACTGGCTCTCTGAGCTGTCTGATTGGCCGGGGGCGCTCTGTGCGGGCTCACCTTGTGTGGAGCTGGTCCCAGCAGCTGATGTATAAATTGATTTCTCTATAATTTCATCAGTTGCAGCAAGGGAGACGATGTCCATATGTAAGTGTTAATAAGGATAGAATCTGTCCCAGGGTGTGGCAGAGAAGCTGGAGCTGGCCTGTTCTCGTCCCTGCAATGCCGGGTGGGGTCATGGGGCCTTGTTCTCCCTCTACCCAAGCCTGCAGTTTGTACATTGGCCTAGTGGTACCTGTTGTCATCGTCAGCATGTGGGCATCAATATGTCTGTGGCTATGGGCAGTTTTCCACGTTAAATGCTATTTCGCATTGGCCTACCCTTGTGGCAGCTTTTAGAGATTATCATGGGTGAGTTGGCAGGGCTGTGCTGGGGGTGGGTAGGTATTGCCCCAAAACTACCCCCTTCTCTTTCAGATCAGCCTTAGGTGCTAAGATTCTGTTGCTGCTCCTGGCAACAAACACGTCTGGCTCTGGAGCTAATCCATCCACAAAGTGGGGCTGTGGAAAATTGCGGACTTTCTTCCTGCGCAGTTCCATGATCCTGCTGCCTTGTTCCTGCTCGTATGATCTTAGATTGCTGTGACACCAGTGGGAAAGCCGCTTCTTCTGGCTGCCATATGCAAGTAGTTTAACTCTTGAGTGGCCTTGTCCTTGCAAGATCTCTACTGCAGAGTGCAGGATGAGCTGATACAGCTTTTTGAAGGCATAAGACCATTCCAAGACCTGGCTCTAGAGGCTTGTCTGCACTAGACAATTTGGACGTTACCATCACTGCTGCAACCCTCTAGCACACCCATAAAGCACCACATGGCCGCACACAAGCACTTGCAGTGGTGGTGGCCAAGCCTGTGCACCACCACTGGGCTTGTGCTGACCCTGAATATCCAGTGGAAGAAACTGAATATGGTGCAGAAAGATCATATAAACCACACGCTTCACACGCCAGCTCCAGGGAGCGGTGCCATGGTTTGTAGACCAGGTGCAATGGTCCCAGGCCTGGCAGTGTGTGGAGGAAGTGCTGCATGTGGGTTCAGTGTGGGCACTTGGAGAAAGAGGCCCACTGGAGTGAGTTGGCAGTGCTCCACTTCTAGCGTGGCTGCAGCCTCCAGTCCCCAAGCAGGTGTTTCTGCTGATCAAATCCATGCTCTCAAAACTTGGCTATCTTCTTTCAGGAGCATGGGTGCATGGGGGGTGGGAGCAGCTAACGCTAGGTGGCTGTGAGAGCTGCTGAGGCCCTGCCTCATTCAAAGGGCTTTATGGAGCAGGCTGCTTGGTGCTACTGGGGAAATAAGTCCCAGGCAAAACCTTTAAGCTGGAGCCCAGCTTATCAATGCCTCTGGTACTGAAGGATGGAAATGTAAGTGACCTACAAGGGGGAAAAGACATGGGGTTGTGCCCTTTTTTATGTCCCTCTGATGGATTAAGCGGCCTAAAATGTTTCTCCTGAACTTTTTTTCTGATTGTTTCCATTAGGAGTTCAGCCTTTGAGTCTGCTTGCAGGGAATCGTCCTGGTGAAAAGCTCGTCCCTCTAGACGAGAGTGGCTGGGGACACAGGCAGGAGCAATGGCTGTAAGACGGGGGATATTTTACTGGGATAGCAATGTCAGTTGTGGGCGGGGAGAGGGAGTTTACTGATCTAATTATACTGGTACAGCCCCTCAAGTGGGTGCATTTATATCCGCATAGCTCATTCCTCTCCCATACCGGGGTAAGTGATCCCAGTATAAACGCTTATAAATGGATGTAACTGCATCCACACTATGGCGGGGTAGGGGGTCCTAATTAGAGTTAGTCTTTTGGCTGTAGACAAAGCCTTGGGAGCTGGAGTTCCATTTTCAGAAGTGACTTAGGTGCCTCAGTCTCTGTGAATGTAGGTGAGTTTAGGCGCCTAGGTCATTTAGGGACATTAGAAAATTCTACCTGGTCTCATTTGGCTCAGACTTGCCAGAAACTCCCCAGTGCAAGGCCTCAGCTGTGAAATGTTAGATGGTTTGGTTTAGGTTTGGCATTGCTGGAGGGAGGGTAAAACACAGAGGCTTAGAATGGGAGGTGCAGAGACACCCCTTAAAGCTGGGAGTGTGGGTGGACAGATGGCTGGGCAGCCTGCTCTCGGAGTCCCATCGCTATGAGTAGCTTTCCCTGGCCAATGACAGTCAGTGTGAAACAGGTTTGGCCCAGCAATTGTCAGAGGCTCATGTTCTGTGGGGTGAAGCCTAGGGCTGGGGATCCTATGGGCGATGAAGGTCTTGAAAAGAGGGCTGCAGACAGCATGGGGAGAACATGAGAGGGTGTCTGCTCCTGAGAGAAGGGAGTGTGCCCGCGATGGATGAGCAGGGCCTTGGGAACTGGCTGTCCTCAAAAGCTGCAAAGTTTTGCAGTAAAAGGCCTTGTTCCAAATCAGTGTGTCAGGCTCTGTGGAGACTGAGTGGAGAACAGAACCGACTGAGGGGGGGACTGGTGGGTAGCAGGAACGGGTACGTGTTCCTACCGGACCCCTGTGCAGCTCCCTGCATAGCAGGGGCAGGATTGGGAATGTTATATTGCCCATTTTGCAGGATCAAATGAGCCCAGGGGTGCTCTCCCAGCATCCTGTGTGTCCCCACGAGCCGCAAGTGTGGAACCTTTGTTTATTCTCCCAAATGCACACAGCCCGGACAGGGTTGGGGTATGGTGTGCTGTTATGGTGTGCTCTGCCCGGGCAGCAGCCAGCCTTCATGGGCAGGCCTGGACAGCTTGGGAACGCATGGTTGTTCTTGGGGAGAGGGTTTACCCAGCAGAACAGCTGTGCACAGTGAGAAATGGCCTGCAGGCTCTGAGGGGTTGTTTGCCGGGTGAGCTGCTGCCCAGTCACTGGGGATGGCTTGCTGGGCTGGGAAGGATAGTGAATGACGGATGTCTGTGTGGCACTGCTCCCTCTGCCCTCCCTTTACTCATCACTCTGTCCATGGCAAGCCCTTGCCGCTCTCTCTCTGCCCCTGCTGCCGTGGCTGGTGGCTGCTCCAGTGCAGAGCTCTCTGTTCTGTCTGCACGGAGCCCAAGGGGGAGGGGGAGGCACATCCCGGCAGATGCTGCCTGCTGCCATTGTCAGCGCAGCCCTTTGGAGCTGCCTCCTTCCTTCTGCTCCCCTCTCCACACGGGGGTTGGGGTGGGAGGGGATATTGAGCATTAAACAAAAGCGCCTCCCAGCTCTGGGCTGCTGCCCCGGCTTTGTTTTGTTGGAGAGCTTGTTGAGCAGGATGAGTGGCCAGATGTGACGCTGCTGCAACCGAAGAAAAGGCAAACATCAGCGGCTGGGAAGTCCGCGCTAGAGAAACCCCTCTCCATATTGTGTGTGGGGTGTGTATAGGCGCAGGGTGGGGGCTCATCACCCTTCCCTTCAAGGCCTGTGGTTA